AATAACAACTAACACATAACATAAATATAACACTTACATAACACCTATAACAATTATAAACATGTATAAAGACAAATATAATTACTAAAACAATATAAAATAAAACTATGAAAAAAAGTGAAATTATAACAAAAATCTCATAATTATAAATTAAGAACATTAGAAAATACAACATTATTTGTATAACACTTTTCACCTATCATACCTTGAATGGGATGTTTATCAATTTTAAAAAATAAACTATTAAATGCTCTAGTTCTTGAACATGCAACATAAAGTTGACCATGAGTGAAACACGGTTTCTTTAGATATACACCAACTCTATCAAATGTTTGACCTTGACTTTTATTAATTGTCATTGAATATGCCAATCTGACAGGAAACTGGCGACGTTTTAGAACAAAAGGTAAATTAGAATCTGACGGAGCCAACTGAATTCGAGGTACAAATACCCGTTTACCAGCAGAAACACCTGTCAAAACCTCTGCATCAATATAATTATTTTGAAGAGCACAAACTTTCATTCGAGTGCCATTGCATAACCCAGCTTTGAGATCTAAATTTCTAAGTAACATAATTATACAACCAATTTTAAACTTTAAAGAATGAGGAGGCATACCTGAGGGAGTTAAGCTATTTAAAAACTCAACAGGAAAGTTATTTCTTTCATTAAGATTGTCTGTCTCAACTTGATCAGCACTTAAATAAGTTTTGACCTCACCCGGTAGACGTTGAAGCACTTCCTCATTGATTGATAGTGAATCCACATTAGTTGGTGTCAAAATGACACGTTTAGCATAATCGTCTTGTTCGGCATCCCCAAATATCTTTTCAACAATGGAGTCATTTTCCCTAATAAGGCATTGATGCGGTATCTCAACGCACCCTTTAAAAGGATCTTCCTCTTTGACAAATACTGTTCCACTACCAAGTCTCAACAGCCAATTTGAAAATTCCCTTTCCCCATCATGTACTCTCATATTTTCTGTTAACTTAAACTTCTGCACCCATTGCCAATGTAAAGAACATTTTATACATGCTTCTACAACTTCAGCTGGTTGTCCTCTTTTCACAACAGGCAGTATTTGTCTAAAGTCGCCTCCAAAAAGAATGACTTTTCCTCCAAATGGAAAGTTGTTGTTGCAAACATCTTTTAATAACCTATCAATTGCATTCAATGCATGTTTGGGTATCAAGGATGTTTCATCAAGCAAAAACAAACTAACCTGACTTAAAAAGTGTCCATGTATAGAGTTTGGAGTAACATTACATGTGCTGTTATCTAATATTGGAACAGGAAGTTTGAATAAGCCATGCAATGTAGATCCATTTGTAAGAAGAGTTGCTGCTATGCCAGTCCATGCAGCTGTAGCAGATTTGATACCTCTACTGCTGGTTTCAGCAATCAAATAATTATATGTAAACGTTTTTCCACTACCAGCCGGTCCATCCATGAAAAACAATCGAGAATGCTGATTTTCTACACTTGGTTGTTCATTCAATGCAGCAAGAATAGCATTACATACATTTAATTGATTGACATTGAGCAGTGGTCTCATTCTATTGGCTTCATCAATTGATTGTTGAACATTTTGATTGAAATTTTCTAGATTATCTAGATTAAAATCTAACTCAATAACAGGAAGATTATAATCTGCCAGCGTTTTACCACACTGATTAATAATCTTTTCAACTTGACAAAGAGCAGCTTGTTCAGCTATTATAAGCGGGACTGAGCGGTGAATAAAGTCCTCAATCATAAATGCTTTGTATGTATTCCAAAGATGCAAAGGATTGTCTGGTTCACAAAAAGTCAAAATAATTGCAAATAACTGTCTAATTTGCTTTGGCATACGTGTTGAAACTGCCTCAGAAAGTGCATTTTGCCATTCAGTGTCATCTTGTAACAAACCATTTAAAACGCATGCTTCACGAAATGTTTCAACAACAATACCATTAACAGTACGCACATCCACCCAAGACTTGGCTCCTTTTGCATGCAAAAGTAACAGCCTAAGAAAAAATAATTCTCCACTTGGATTAACTTTATACATTCTTACTATCACCTTATTACCACCTCTTTGTCTAACCTTCCATTTACAAAGCTTATCATCAAATATAAAATGATAAGGAATGTCTACATATGAATAGCAATGTGCTCTTTCATTTTCAGAATTTAACTTGAACCATGCTGTAAGGTGTGTATCACGTTGAGCTGCACGATCTAAAGCCATTTGTTCTGCTCCTTCTCTAAAATACACTAATTGATTCTCAGGAAGATGAACTTTAAGACGGATAATAGTGTGTGACATATGACTTATGGGATACTCAAAAATTCGCCACAATGCTTCAGGTGCACTAACATAACGACAGTCTAAAAAAGTGTTTACTTCATCATGATTAATTTGTTCATTTATCAAAATATTGGCACAGTCGTGACCCTTGTATATGTATTTGTACAAATATTTAACAGCCTTAACAGACATGCAAGCTTCAACATTAATGTGGGCTTGATATTTCTTTGATAACCATGGATTGTAAGGTACCACCCAGCGGTTATCTACATTGTTGCCTTTAATATTGATAACCAAACCATTATCACGACGCCTATAGCGAGGATAACCATTATGAACTACTACTGTGTTGGCATTAAATTCTTTAGGATAATTTTTGCTGCACACCCCATCTTTCATGCAGGTAGAATTTGGATTCAGTATGCCACATGGGCCATGAATCATGCAAGTTTTAATAACATCATAAAGTTCACGATTTATAATTGGATCTGGAATTTCAGCACATATTAAACTATTGATATCCTGTGCTGTCTCCAGCTTGTCATCAGTGGCAAAGTGAAGTAAAATATGAACATGTGGTAAACCACGCTTTTGAAATTCGATAACATGAACATGGGTTACGACTTTCCCTAATACACCATGCTTAAAAATATCATTTAGGAGATTATTTAATTTGAGTTTAAATACTCGTGTAACTAAATCAGGTCTATCATTTGCAGTTTGACCTGGATATAAATTTTCAGTTATCTCGCGCCATTTTGGGTTGCAGGTAAAAGTAATAAAAAGATCTGGTTTACCATACTTTTTAATTATAGCCATAGCATCTTCAAAGTTTTCTTTTAAAGCTCTAGGACTTCCTACATAAGTAGATGGCAAAACTACAACGCGCCCTACTCTAACATTATGATCGTTTCCAAGGTTGTCTACATGTTCATGTAAGGCATCATACTGCTCGCTTCTAAGTTTGTTTTGGTTATTTCTGATAAAAGCAAGGCGCTGGCCTTCAATTTTGACATATGCATCAACAGCATATTGCTGAAATAGTTTCTTGCCATAAAAGATTGAAGAAAAAATTTGTCTAACCGAAAGTCTATAATTGTAATACTGAGATAATGTAACATGATTTCTAACCAATGTAGCACGTTCAGGGTTGTGAACCAATTGATTATGCCAACCAGCATCACCCCTTGGGAAAAATAGAGGATAAACCATAGGATCTAAGTTGGCAGACATACTTGATATAATTTTAAGAGGATGACCTCTCGGGTAAATAACAACTTCTCTGGAAGCAGGAGGAGCACCATCTTCACCAACAAATACAACTGCAACTTCATTATGTGAAGGGAGATTATAGCGACGTCTATCTTGCCCTTCAAGTAAAGACATTTTTACAACTGAGACTGAGCGACCTTCTATAGCTGCTTGGCGAATTTCTTCATCTTCCACTTCAGCCATGTTTTTAAATGCGAGAGCAAATGGGTTCTCCTCACTAATAATAGTTTGCAACCGAAACATTAAATCATTTAAGCAAAGATCATTACCAGGTTGTCGCATTCTAAAATTTATTGCTGCAAGTGGATCATAAATGTATAGTTGACAATATGTTGGAGGAATATCTTGATCTGGCCTAAGATTACCAACACGATGAAAAACCTGACCACATATTCTTAAACATGGCGGCCCATGATTCATGGGTTGAACTACATTAGCAGTAAATGAAGCAAAAGAAAGACAGGCATTATAATTTCGAATATATTTTAGAAAATTCACATTGGCATTTCGATCTACATAACTTCCTGTAAATAAATCTTGTAAATCTTGCGGAAATGGTGAAAGTTGAGACAAAACTACCTTTCCATTATGGCAACATAAAAAATGTGTTTCATCAGGAAATTTCTTAGCACCACAATGCTGACAAATATGATTCATTTCTCCTAAATAATTATAATCTGGAATAGTATTACTTCTTGCTATACAATGCATTCTTTCATGTCTACCAGCATATCTAGCATTCTGTTGATTATTAATTTCATCTCGCCTCAGCCTATTTCTTGCATTTCTGCGACGATTATTATCAACTTGCCTAATGACATTGTCCTCATTTTGATTCAAATTATTAGCAGCTTGCCGAGCAGCATATCTAATATTTTGAAGATGATTAATTTCATCTCGCCTCAGCCTATTTCTGGCATTTCTGCGACGATTATTTTCAACTTGCCTAATGACATTGTCCTCATTTTGATTCAAATTATTTGCGGCTTGCCGAGCAGCATATCTAGCATTCTGTTGATTATTAATTTCATCTCGCCTCAGCCTATTTCTGGCATTTCTGCGACGATTATTTTCAACTTGCCTATTAACATTTTCATCATTTTCATCCATTTAAATTTTACTTTTAATTGATAATAGTAACAAAAAAACTTGAATTAATCCAGAAGATTGTGATCTTTTTTTTTTTTTACTACTCTAAATTGCACATACAAATTATTTTTAAAAAATGACAGGAAATTTTTATTTAAAATAAACTAAATTATACAACAATCTTGTGCATTTTTTATAAAAAAAATTTCATAAATATATCTGGTAAGAGATGTTTAAACAAAAAATTAACTCATAATAATAATCTAAATAAAAAAATAACGAATAGGATTAAAAAAATAATGAATAATAAAATTTGAATAATAAATTTGAATAATAAAAGCGCTGCTTAAACAAAAAATAGAAAAAAAAATTAAAAAATAAAGTATTTGTAAACCCTTTTTGTAAACTTCAAATTATTTCTATAAAAAAATTGTTTAAAAAATATTAAAATAATTTAACCTTCACAAACAATGAAATGACTGTTCAAAAGTTGTAGTTTAATTTAATTTTCTAAATTCTAAAGAAATAAACAAAAATCTAACAGCATCATTGAAATGTTAATAATATAATAAGCAACATGACAAAATTCAAATTCAATATATAAAAGATCATTTATCTGTTTTTCTTTTTTCTTATTACTTACTTTTTTTTTTTTCTTTATTATTAAGACTATCTATTTTACATATTAAAATATCTATATTAGATAAAAATTAGAAGATTAAATTTATTAAAGCTTAACATAAGTTAAAAGCAGTTATAAACACTAAACTATTGAATTCGAAACAATGAAAAGAAATAAAATCTGGTAAAAATCAACAAATTATAAACTTTAAAATATTAGATATTTACATGTGGTTTTTTTTTACAGTTAATTATCTACTATAGTACATTTTTCTGATTTAACTGATATGATATATATTGGGGACAATTACAGTCATGTTATATTGTGAACCAAAAATTAAATATCTAGTCAAAAATTAATAGTCTAAACAAATACTAAAAAAATAAAAACAAACAAAATTAAAATTATAAATTTATTTCATTGAGAATAAAACACCAAGGAAAAAACAGCAACAAAAAAATTGTAAATATCTTCACTGATTAAAGATATTTAAAATTTTTTTGTTGCTGTTTTTTCCTTGGTGCCTCCCAGCACCCCTGTATGGATGAGCTCTCCATTTAAATGAGGGCTCATCCATACCATTATTAAAGCACCATTTGTTAAAGGACCTCTCAGAAAGAGGTCCTGGGTGCTGGGAGCGATAAAGCCTGTAGCTGCTCCAATTTAGATCTAAAGAAATAAAAAATAATATAATAAAAAAAATAGATATTTGCATTTAAAATAATAATAAGATAAAAGCATAACTCTACCGGTTGCAGCAGTGCCAGACAATGCTAAAGAAATAGAAGGAAAAAAAAAGTAGAATAAAGTAAAAACTGAACATGTTGGTATTTGTGTTTTGAATAAAATTGCGATTTGAAAAAAAACGCATAAAAATATAAAACATAATCCTACCAACTGTAGTAGTACCAGATGACGATGCTAAAGAAATGGAAAAAATAAAATAAAAACCAAACATGTTCATATTTGTATTTTGAATAAAATTGCAATTTGAAAAAAAATGCATAAAAATATAAAACATAATCCTACCAGTTGTAGTAGTACCAGATGACGATGCTAAAAAAATGGAAAAAATAAAATAAAAACTGAACATGTCGATATTTGTATTTCAATTAAAAAATAAAGCATAACCTTACCAATTGTAGTAGTACCAGATATCAGCGCTAAAGAAATAAAAATTAAAATGAAAGTAGGGTAAAATAAGAGTAGGATAAATAAAAACTGAGCATGTTAATTTTTGTACTTTAATAAAAATATCAAGCATAACCCTACCAATTGTAGTAGTACTACCAGATGTCAATGCTAAAGAAAGGGAAAATAAAATAAAAGTTAGATAAAGTAAAAACTGAACATCTTAATATTTGCATTTTTATAAAAATATAAAGCATAACCCAACCAGTTGTAGTAGTATCAGATGGTGAGGCTAAAGAAAAAGAGAAAAAAAAAAAGTAGAATAAAATAAAAACCAAACAGGTTGATATTTGTATTTTAATCTAAATATAAAGCATACCCTTACCAATTGTAGTAGTACCAGATGTCACTGCTAAAAAATAGAAAATAAAATAAAAGTAGGGTAAAATAAAAACTGAACATGTTAATCTTTGTACTTAAATAAAATTATCAAGCATAACCCTACCAGTTGCAGTCATATCAGATGATGATGCTAAAAAATGAAAAAAATATAAACTAAACATGTTGATACTTGTATTTTATTTAAATATAAAGTATAACCCTACATGTTGAAGTAGTACCAGAGAACGATGCTGAAAAAAAGAGGGAAAAAAGAAGAAGAGTAGAATAGAAAAAAAAACAAACAAAAAAAAAACAAATGTAATATTTGTATTTTAATAATCTACAATATAATTGCAAAAAAATAAAAAGCATAACCCTACCAGTTGTCACAGAGTTTGACACTAATAATGAGACTTAAAAAAAAATTAATGTTAAAAATTATAAAACATATAATAGTTAATAATAAAAAGTATGTATGTATCTAAATATAATTTTTACCTGTTTTCCTCATTTCTGCCATAAAATCATCTAAAACAAAAAAAAACTTGAAAATTTTATAAAAAAGACATAAAAAAAAATCAATCAAATCAGTAATTTGAAAAAATATCTTTAAATTAGGATAAATTAACAATGTTGAGTTAAATTTAAGGCTCTATCACTACTCTGTGTGTGTGTGTGTGTATATATATTTATATATATATATATATAAATTATCAATTGGTAAAATTATAAAATAATTTATACCTAGTCTAAGTTTCAATTTTCCTATAAAGTAAAAAGCAAGTTAAAAGTAAACAGTACAAATTATTAAATCCTAATAACAAATATTTAATGACAAAAATACTGACTGTATTTCTTTAGTGCTTTGTCTAAACAATAAATTTAAAATACACTTTTATTAAAATCTTTTAAAGACATATATTATAAAAATTCAATAATTTTAAAAACAAAATTAATTGCTAATTGGCTAACTAACGATTATACCTTTATCAGGTCGCTTATGATAAACTAAACAAATTATATATACAATTAACATCTTGTTTTAGACAGAAGTTATCATTAACATATAAATTTAGTTCTACTAAAATAGTTACAAAATTTAAAACTTACTTTCATCTTCCCCATCATTGTCAACTAAATGAAAATTCAACTCCAAAAATACTCTACTATATACTACTAATATTTTAAATTCTACTTAAATATTTAAAAAATCAACACTTACCTTCAGTTTCATCTCCGTGGTTAACTAAATAGAATTTACAATAATAATAATATAAATCAAAATATAAATGAAAAAATAATAAATTATACTTAAATATTTAAAAAATCAACACTTACCTTCAGTTTCATCTCCGTGGTTAACTAAATAGAAATAAATATTATTTACAATAATAATATAAATCAAAATATAAATGAAAAAATAATAAATTATAGTAAACCAAAAAAAACAAAAAATCAAAGTTACACATTAAATAAACAGAAAAAATATATATACTATATACTTGATAATGTACTTAAAATGTAACTAAAATTATTATTATGATTATTAATAAGTCTTATTTATCTTTTAAATCGTTCAAATAGTTTTCACATAGTTTAAATTTTTCCTTACAATAAGACTCCTTTGATGTTAAACAAATAAAATGTTTTGAAAAAGATTAAAATAAAAACTTTACCGTTCATTTTTCTTTTTTGCTAATCTATAATAATTAAATTAATAAAATTAAATATAACCTATAAAGTAAAAATAAGATTTTTACTTTACAACTCTTCATCATTTTATAACAACGTTCTAAAATAAAAAATTGCAAAATTCAACTTAAGTAAACATGTAAATTGAAACTATATAAAAATGATTTCCCTAAAAAGTTAAGAGAAGTTCGTCAGGTCTGGCTCGGTAGACCTTTTGAGTGGACCGCATGTACTTAAAAAACGCGCTCTAAAAAAAGCCTAGAATCTACTTGAAAAAACAATAAACGATGACGTAACGCGACATTGAACATTGAATTTTTACAGTATTCATATTTAGAGATAGCGTATAACAACTTGTGCTTTTCCTTAAATGATAAAAACTATAATTTTTTTTTACTTCATAAAAATAATATAAACATAAAATATAATAATAATCCATTTAAAGTACAAATATATTAGTGTTTATAAATAAAAATCTTGTATTATTAACAACATCTTAGCTTACCTCCGTTTTTACGAAAATCTTGGAACAAATATAAAACTTATATAGCGTTTTAGGTTTTCGTAAGTTAATGAAGACATAATGTTATTTATTTTTGTGAAAGTATATTATTCGCTTTTAAATGTAAACTACCTTATTATACAACAATACAGCATTAACAAAAAAGTAAAAAAAAAAAGTAAAAAGTCTGTTAAAAATAGTCTAACGAGTTATATTCTTTACACCGTTTCTACAGATTTGCTTGTTAATATAAAAGTAAGTGTGGTAAAAAACTGTCAAAAAGATCAGCATTCCTCTGAGTAAGTTAATAATAATTATTTATAATAGTAATAATAATAATTTATAATAGTAATATTATAAATTAATATATATAATTACAACATTTATACAGATGTGCGTTTGTGTATGTATATATATATGTTTATACATATATATATATATATATATATATATATATATATATATATATATATATATATATATATATATATATATATATATATATATATATATATATATATATATATATATATATATATATATGAAAGGAGATTGTAATGCGATTGAGAAAATACAACACAGAGTAACTAAAATTGTTTCATCAATTAGCAATCTCAAATATGAAGATCGACTTATTGCTTAAGGCTTAACAACCTTAACTGAGAGAAGAAAAAGGGGAGGTTTGATAGCACTATACAAACTTATGCATGGTATTGACAAAACAAACATAAGAAAGTCTTTTCCAGTTGTTAAAAATTCTTTAAGAGGGCATTGTTTTAAATACCACAAAGAACTCGCTAAACATCTTTCGAGGGAACATTTTCTTTTTAACAGAATTGCGAATACATGGAATTTACTTCCGATTGAAATTGTAACAGCAAAGTCTGTTAATTGTTTTAAAAGAGGTCTTGATTGCTGGCTGAACAGCAATCAAGCATTACCGCTGCCATAGTGTGTGCGACATCACACTCACTGGATTTGTCCAGTACAGCATTAACTACTATTACTATTACTACTATATATATATATATATATATATATATATATATATATATATATATATATATATATATATATATATATATATATATATATATATATATATATATATATATATATATATATATATATATATATTAGGTATGGGGATTAAAATTTCAAACTGTTTGAATACTATTCTGCTTTATATCATTGGAAAGAAGATCAATATAGTATTTTAATGGTCAAATTATTTTTTTAAAAATAATTCGGTTAAAATAAATCGGTTTAAGTACCGATTTTTCGATATATGGATTTGTTTAAGAAACTGCGGTCAAAATTAGGTTTTTTTCAACTTAAATTGTCATAACTTCGTCAATTCTTGTTAAAATACAAAATCTTGGTATGAAAAAATAAGTGTAGGAGTGGGCTACAAATTTATGTTAACCTATAACCACCGAGCGTATAGGTTAAACAGAGGAGTCACCAAACCACTACCTTACCCGTATGAAACTTAACACTTTTTTTAATGAAAATGTGTTTTTGAAGAGAAAATGAAAGTTTTAAAATACAAAAAGTGATTTTAATTTTATACCAGGCCTTTCCCTATAGGATGGGTGTATTTTAGAGTTAGAGGTGGGTATGGGTATACGTGTCCTAGAAATATAAATTTAATACCCATTAAACATAAATTTAATGGGTATTAAATTTATATTTCTAGGTCACGTGCAATAACTTTCATTTTAGACTATCTTTTTTAAGTGAAGTTTTTTTGGACCCTGCTTTTTTTTCCCAGGTATAACGACTGTATTCGTTTTTGTTTTTTTTATTAATTCATAAACTAAATCACTAATTTTTTAGTTAAAGTAACTTAATAAAACAATTCTATCTTCTCTTTTAGCAATTTTAAAGCATTTCAATTTTTTACAGTTACATTCAAGCCCTGTTTGAGGTAACTATTTGTATATTAAAGAAGAGAGACATAATTCCACCAAACTTTAAATATACATAAAATCAATTATTTGATTCAAAATCAAATACAAAGTATGGTTCTGTAATTTATGAAGCTATAAAATCAAAAAAGTCAGAATTTTCAAAATGTAACGCTGCCGTTTCTTCCCGTGGAATCTTCATATATAAAAGGTTTTCACAATTATTTATGGGAGGAGCATGTTCTGCACCCCCTCCCTCGTCCACCCTAACAATTTTTAACTTGGCAAATAAATTTTTAATTTCTGTATGATAAATTATCAAAACAAAGCGTCATTTTCATTAATTTTTTGGCACTCAGATGTTTGACTTGACAAATCTCAGCTCAAATACACAAATACTGTCAAGTAAAACATATTTTACTTGACAGTATTAGTGTATGCTTGTTCAAAATGGAGAGGTCTTTTGAACACCCCCCCCCCCCCCACCTCCAACCTAAAAAAGTGTAAATAACTAAATAAAATACTTTGAAAAAAATTATTTCATTAATTGCTGATGCAATTCTAAAATACTCCAAAATCTTTATTGACTGTAATTCGTCTATTAGTCAAAAGTCAATAGCAGTAAAAAAAGGTGTTCTCAAAATAAAGAATTAGTTAAATATAATTGGTGTAAATTATGATTATTTAAAAATAGTAATTCATGATTGCAACTTTTTTTTCAGATTATCTTTTCTTGTTTTTGCACTTTGTTTTTGTCAAGTCACGTAGCTTAACATAACACATAACACAAGTCATAACACTTGCAGTAATTTTTTTGACTAGAATAAGATAACACTATTTATGTAACTTATAATAAACTGTTTAATTATTTTGAAAATATTATTGTTGTTAAAAAAAAATTGTAACAAACTTTCAAAAATTAAAACAGGTGAAAGGTAAAAGCTATTCCTTCGTGGTGTTATAAAATTAATAAAACTGCAACTCTCCAGAAGCAACATCAGCAGCAAGCTGTATCTTGTTCATGCAATAGTCAACAGCTTCAATATCAGTTTCATCATATTTCCAGAAAGAAATGGTCATTTTTTCTTCTTATTATTTTTTTCTACTCTTCCATTATACAAAACGCATTTGCAGTGTTTGGATCATACTATTCCTGGTCTAGTTTTTTCCCAAAAATTCTCCCTAACATAACATCTTCTAAATCATATAGTTGGCAGTCGGGCAAGTGTTTATATGAATTTATAATCTTATTAAAACTCAGTTTTTATAGCTCACGCCCTTAAACTTATATATATTTTTTTTGACAAGTCTCAGCTCGAATTTTAGCATGATACAGTTGATCTCTAAATCTATTTCTACAGGATACATTAATTGATCAATAAACTACATTTTCTCTCAAACTTAGGTCTAGAATGTCTAGATAATCCACAGTCTTATTTTTTTATTTTGAGCTTAATTTGCAAGAGATATAGCAAATTTTTAAATTAGAGGACCGTACTTTGGCATCACTAAACATACCTATTAGTTACTCACCATTATATTGTGAAGCCTTGCACAAGCCGTCACCTCTTTAAATGTGTCTGTAATAGAAAGTGAAAAATATCTATTATATTGTCTATTTAAAACATCTTCCACTGCAATAAACATGCAGAAGTCATTTTAAAAAGCTCTTCATCAATAGAGCATAAACTTGTTACTGATTCTAAAATGTTTGACTTAATCGATTTTCCAAAAAAATTAGTCTGTCTGCAAAACAACCCTGTTTACAAGCTTGAACTGTTTGCATAACATTTTTCACGACCTGGATACCAGCAACATGATCAAAGGTTGCATGCTCTGATGTTACTTAAAACATTTTCATCCAGGGTTCAGTAAGAATTTTTCCAAATACTGCTAGCACACATATTTGTTTGATTGCGGTTACACTACAAAATGCTTCTCGAAGAGTTGCTTGAAAACAGGGGCGGATCTAGCATTTTTTGGTCTTTTAGATAGCTAAATTCCAGACATGGAGCAAACTCCATACATTTATATATTTATACTTATGTCAAATAAGGATGCTTTGCAAATAATTGCGATGTTTGGAGCTTGGGAACAAAAAAGCCCCCAAATATTTGCCACCCCCCCCCTCATTACCCCAAACGTGAGAGCAACAAATTAATGAAATATTTTTTGTCTTATTTTCAACTAGACTTATATTCATCGAAAAATTTTAAATTTCATAGTAAAATATTTTAGCCTTCAAAAATTGACCATATAAAGTTTAAACCCCCTAAATTTGAGGGAGTTGCAAATTTTATATGGTCATAATTTTTGAATGCTAAGCGATAATACTATAAAACTTGAAATTTATCAATGAATATAAGTCTAGTTGAGAATAGTACAAAAATTACATTTAATTCCCGATAACTCGAACCTCCAAGGGACCAAGGAAAATGGTTCGACTTAACAAATGTTCAACTTAAGGTGGTTCATACCCTTAAAAAAAGTTTCAAAGAAAACTAGTTATTTTAAGTGCTTTTTTTAGTTAACCTATATAAATTAATAAACAATTTCCATTAAACAAAAAAAAAAAAAAAAAAAAATTATTTTTGTCTCATTAATTCATA